TGTGTGTGTGTGTGTGTGTGTGTGTGTGTGTGTGTGTGTGTTGTGTGTGTGTGCGTGTGTGTTATGTGTGTGTGTGTGTGTGTATGAGTTAGAGAGAGAATGATCTGTGTGTTTATTTGGTAGCATAGGGGACTATTCCAACTTCATGCGGAGCAGTAGCAGAATTGCTAACACTGAACAAGCACTTAGCACTAGCTAACACTTAGCAAGAACAATGCTTCGCTGAATCTACCACCGGATCAGAATCGCGACCCACTTAGAAGATCCGGCGAGAAACTGAGTGGGCTGTGTCTATGGGTGAATTCGCACTTCGACTCTTACGAAGAGTTCGACGACCTGGGTCGGATATGTAGATAGCGGCGGCCACAACAAGAGGGTTATCGTGCCGCGCTGCTTTTATAAAGTAGTGTTCTGACGTTTCTTTAAGATGCTACGATGCTCCGACGGCTATCCTGCAGGTGGATTATCTATGTACATATATAATGCTTCAGGAGTAAACACCAACACGGTACTCTTGTGCGTCGAGTTAATCAAACAGACAGACACAGTGCACACTTACCGGTTCGTGTTTGACGAAGGGCTCAACTATGAAGTGCCTCAGCCGCCCGACGCAGGCGCCTATCGTCTGCTCCTTGGCCATGTGCTCGCCGAGCCAACGCCGGACCTCCGCCGCCGTCTTGTTCACGCCGACCAGACCCAGCTTGCCGCGACGTTTGATCAGCTGGTCCGGTTTTACGACCAATTGCTGAAACGGGACGGCGATAGTGTTTTCGTTTCTTTCTAATACTGGTGGTAGGACCTCTTGTGAGTCCGCGCGGGTAGGTACCACCACCCTGCCTGTTTCTGCCGTAAAGCAGTAACGCGTTTCGGTTTGAAGGGTGGGGCAGCCGTTGTAACTATACTTGAGACCGTAGAACTTATATCTTAAGGTGGGTGGCGCATTTACGTCGTAGATGTCTATGGGCTCCAGTAACCGCTTCACACCAGGTGGGCTGTGAGCTCGTCCACTCATCTAAGCAATAAAAAAAAACAAAATTTCGTAAATGACTTTTTTCACCTACCTATGCTGTCAGGCTTGAGAGGCTATTTCAGCTTTACCTTGACGTGTAGGTGAGCTCACGGGGCTTAAAATGGAAGTGTTGCTAACACTGGCCCTAACAAGAGCAGTGCTTCGCATAATCTACCACCGGATCGGAAACGCGACACACTGAGAAAATCCGGCGAGAAACTCCGCGGGCTGTGTCTGAGGGTTAATTTACTCGTCGAGCCCTTCATCGCAAGCGACGGGTTCGGCGAGGACAGTGACAGGTAGATGAATAGTACACTCATGCAAACTGCCGACTTGACTTGGAAGGTCCATCGCATGGGCAACCTTCCACGCGGTGTGGTGATTTCTACTTTGTCCCGAACGACAAGGCGCTTTATGGAGTTATTTCCTCGCTTGAAGAAGTGGCTATTGCTCGTGAGGCACATAGCGTCTGCCCACAGCCATAATACTTAATGAGGACAACCACCGCTCTGACAAGTGATACGGCAAGGAAAAACAAAAGATGAATCGACACGAGATCTAAGTTCTAGAGTATAATGGCGATCGCAATAGTGCTTCAACAGAAATAAGAGGGTTATTTAGTGCCTACCCGCGCGGGCTTACGAAGCATCTTGTGACGTTGTAAGGATACCTTTCTTTTGTGATCACGTACATATTATGTGTTATCCTGTTGGACGTCACGCAGGAGAATTATAATGTGAAGGCCAATGGTGTAAATTATGAAGAGAAACGCAATGCGAATGAACGTGGCGGGTAGTGGTGGATGAACCCTACTCCGATGGCAAGTGATACGATCGTGAAAAAGACGTCAAAGACATATCCTTAATAATGTACAAGACTGTATTCAAGATTCCGTAGACTAACAATACAAAAAAAAAACCTTGCAGTTCCGTCACGTTGGCATTTCTGTATATAGCACAGATTACATCGCAGTATAGATTAAATACGTAAGGTATATTCTGTACAAGTCATGGTTTTCATGTCGATTTATCTAATCGCTGAAACTTTCATTCTATATCGGTGGTAGTCATTACGACTTAAAAGCGTCTATAAAAGCTTATTTAAATAAAATAAAACATGATTCAAATTTACAAAAAATGTTATTTTTTTATTGCTTAGATGGGTGGCCTAACCTAGACTGATGTTAAGTGGTTACTGAAGCCCATAGACGTGTACAACGTAAATGCGCCACCCACCTTGAGATATAAGTTCTAAGGTCTCAAGTATAGTTACAACGGAAACCCCACCCTTCAACCCGAAACCCATTACTGGTTCACGGCAGAAATAGGCACGGTTGTGGTGCCTACCCGCGGGGACTCACAAGAGGTCCTGCCACCAGTACAGTGTTAACTTTCTGTTGGAATTATGAACAAAAAACTTCGTAAAAACGTAGATAACTTTCTTGACAAATATTTTATGTAAAATCGACGTAAACATACCTCCTTCGAGAGCCATGGATTTTTCCCCAGCTCATCCTCCCACACTGTGCTCTGTTCGAATGTGGCGAACCTGCACGGTACCAGGGCCGTACCGGAGGCTATGTGTCTGGAACGAAAACAAAAAAAAATACTAACAACAAAGCCTCGAGATACGTTGACACTTTCTTTTAATCATCTGTCTGCTTAGTACAAGTTTTTTAACATTCTCGATAGCGTAAACGTTTCTCGCTAGTGGTGCTTTTCAAACTGCATACAAATTTGAGTAAACTTTTACGCTATCGAGAAAGTTAAAAACTCGCACGAAGCACACTGGTTAGCCCTCAGGCGCCTTGCGACACCCACAAGATGAAGTAGGGCGGTAGGACGTTTCGCGCTCTCTCCCACACTAGGGCTTGCCTATAGCGTTACTCACTCGCACCTATACATAACTTTTTTAGATCCCCTGGCAGGTAGAAAGGCCCCACCAAAATGACCTGCCTTTTTAGGAATATAATTTTTTTGTCATAAAATTAAATAATGTCCTATAAAAATTTCAAGTTGCCTCAAACATATTGCATATATGAAAAAAAAAAAAAAAAAAAAAAATTAAGGGTTTATTTAGCCCCGCTACCCACTAGCCAAGTCTGTAGTTCCGAGTTGGGGTGTATGAGGAGAGGTATGGAACAAGTTTTCAGCTTGCCTCAAATACCTACCCAAAAATTGGTGCCAGCTCTTGGACTAAAGAAACAGATTGCCATATTAAAAGAAAAGGAGAAAATGATGGTGTCATTCAAGACTTATAGGCATTCACATACGTTCCTAACGAAGCAAAGGACATGGGCCACTCTCCATACATTGCACGGCCCACTAAACGAAGTTCAAGGACAGTAATGAAATTAAGTTTAAATAACAGACTATATATCCCTTTTATTATAAACAAATTAAAATCAATATTGTTCATAGGGATACAGAGATATTTAAAAAATAAGATAAGAATTTTAGGTTATATCATATGACTTGCTGTCAATACACTGACACTTTAACATTATCATCAGCTTAAATATTATTTATATTACTTTACTTTATAAGACCTAATTCAATGAACGCCAAGACTTAATTTTATGCACCACAAAATATAATAAGCAGGTATATCGCAACGAAACACTTAATAAAATCCACAATGCGCACTAGTGAGAAAACGACTGATCAAATGTAAAACGTCAATAAACATTAAACAAGCGTAGTTCTTTTTTTTTGCTTAAGATCAATAATTATTCATCCATTTATTCTACGGATTTAAAAGAATAAAAATAAGTTTTTGTATAGATATAATATTTTATATTAATTTTAAAATCCATTAATTAAATATGTTAATATATTTTGCTAGTTTTTTTGCAATATAATGTTTTTTTAAGAAGATTTAATTTGAATTGTTTAAAATATAAAAAAAAGAATTACCTAAAATTTTCCTTCAATATTATCAATGTAGCTTAGTCATGCTTCTTTTTATTTATGATTTTAATTATCCCACCATTAAAATATCTTTAAATTTCATAATAATTATGTAAAAATGAAATGTTTTTTTCTATAGATATTTCATTAATGTCCTTGAGAGCACGAGTAGCAGGGCCGAAAATGGCCATGTCCTTTGTCAAGTACAATGCCAAGGCTTGGATGGGCGTGATGTTACCCCCCCCCCTTCTCCTCCCTCTACCCTCGCGTAGATCGGCTTAGCTCATAGCGTTATCACTCAGCGAACTCCTCACCTGTTGATCAGATCCTTGCCCGTTGCCTCGTAGATAGCTTTCGACGACATCTTTTATTTTTGAAAGAATTTATAAAAATAAATAAACTACCACAATAATAACAATTGTAACCCTTCGTCAGTTTTCACGACATATGGCCGGTCGAGATCTGTGAACAAAAGAACAGAATGACATAAGTATTTATTTATTTAGTCTAGTGGTCCCCCGGTAGTCGAAATTCGAATATAAATTTTTTTTATTGCTTAAATGGGTGGACGAGTTCACAGCCCACCTGGTGTTAAGTGGTTACTGGAGCCCATAGACATCTACAACGTAAATGCGCCATCGACCTTGAGATATAAATTCTAAGGTCTCAGTATAGTTACAACGGCTGCCCCGCCCTTCAAACCGAAACATATTACTGCTTCACGACAAAAATAGGCAGGGCGGTGGTACCTAACGGCGCGGACTCACAAGAGGTCCTACCGCCAGTAATTACGCAAATTATAATTTTGCGGTACTTAATTATTTTTATTACACGATGTTATTCCTTCACCGTGGAAGTCAATCGTGAACATTTGTTAAGCACGTATTTCATTAGAAAAATTGGTACCCGCCTGCGGGATTCGAACACCGGTTCGCTCAACACAAATGCACCGGACGTCTTATCCTTTAGGCCACGACGACTTGCAAACACAACACGCGACTTGTAGGAACGTATCTACCGCGTTATAGGAGGGTTATCGGTACTTAACTCACGAATTACTTCCACAATGACGTCATGACGTAATAAAAACTAAAACCGCATGACTTATAATCATCGTTATTACTACATAATTATATAGCGAAACATGATAAATCTCGAACCTCTAAGTGAGTGGCGACATTCACGTAGTAACGATTACACGGGTCAACACCAAATTTAACTTTGAATTCAAAGCATAAAATTTCGATTTTTTAAATCGTAATTAGACGAAAAAAATAATACATGGCATGAAACAATTTACTTTTCAATCTATATATTAATACGTGAAGCAAAAACTTTGTATCCCTTTTTACGAAAACTGCGCGGACGGAGGAGTATGAAATTTTCCACACTTATAGAGAATATAGAGAAGAAGTGCACAATGCTAATATTTTTTTAAGATAATGCATAAAAGATACATTAAATCAATAAAGAAAACTACCCCGGTCTCCGGAGACCCATCTGGCGCTCTTCGCCGATGACACCGCCATCTACTACTCGTGTAGGAAGAAGGCGTTGCTTCATCGACGACTTCAGACCGCAGCTACCACCATGGGACAGTGGTTCCGGAAGTGGCGCATCGACATCAACCCCACGAAAAGCACAGCGGTGCTCTTCAAAAGGGGTCGCCCTCCGAACACCACGCTGAGCATCCCTCTCCCGACTAGGCGCGTCAACACCTCCGCCCCCGCCGTTCGCCCAATCACGATGTTCGACCAGCCCATACCGTGGGCCCCGAAGGTCAAATATTTAGGCGTCACCCTCGACAGTAGGATGACATTCCGCCCCCACATCAAGACGGTACGCGATCGTGCCGCCTTCATTCTAGGACGTCTCTACCCGATGATATGTAGGCGAAGTAAAATGTCCCTTAGAAATAAGGTGACACTCTACAAAACTTGCATACGCCCCGTCATGACCTATGCAAGTGTAGTGTTCGCTCACGCGGCCCGCATACACTTAAAATCCTTTCAAATTATTCAATCCCGTTTTTGCAGGATAGCCGTCGGAGCCCCGTGGTTCGTCAGGAACGTCGACCTCCATGACGACCTGGACTTAGAGTCCATCAGTAAGTATCTGCAGTCGGCGTCCATGCGCCACTTCGATAAAGCGGCACGACACGAGAACCCTCTCATCGTGGCCGCCGGTAACTACATTCCCGATCCTGCGGACAGAATGGAAAGCAGTCGACGTCGCCCTAAACACGTCATCTCGGATCCTCCTGATCCACTAACGGTGCTTTTAGGTACTTCAAGCACCGGTCACCGTTCTCGTCGAACCCGTCGCTTGCGACGAAGGGCTCGACGAGTAAATTAACTCTCAGACACAGCCCACTGAGTTTCTCGCCGGATCTTCTCAGTGGGTCGCGCTTCCGATCCGGTGGTAGATTCTGCGAAGCACTGCTCTTGCTAGGGCGGTGTTAGCAATTCTCCGGTTTGAGCCCCGCGAGCTCACCTACACAAGCTAGGGTACGCTGAAATAGCCTCTCAAGGCTATCAGCATAGGTAGGAAAAAAAAAAAAAAAAAAAAATTACTGGAGTGCCATGGAGTGTGTAAACGTAAACACCCCACTCTCATAGCGCGGTTTTTTTGCAAGTATTAAAATTAATTAAAATTAATAAAAAATTTGAAAAATGAGTAATATTACTATAACTATCACAAAAGCAAACTTTATACCAAAAAAAAAAGGTATTTTATTTTCGTTTTTGTGAATAATTAACCGGAAAAATCTAATAAACGTTAGGACAAAGAACGAATTTTTTTTTGTAGAGTTGTGTTATAGTATACGGTAACTAATCAACTCCAGGGAAAAGATGATCCACTATTATTTGCAACAACAACAAAAAAAATTGGTGATTTTCAGAAAGATGGTAGGTAGGCAGCGGCTTGGCTCTGTCCCTGGCATTGCTGACGTCCTTGAGCGACGGTAACCACTCACCATCAGGTTGGCCGTATGATCGTCTGCCTACAAAGGCAAAAAAAAACACGCGGCAGTGTGATCAGCATCAATAATATGCTGTCGTCTCTGTTTTACTAAAAAGCCAAACATCCGTTTTCCTTCCGGCATTATAATTATAGATTCCCGCACCAGTGTTTTAGCAGGACGCATACAAAAAAAAACATTATAAGTTTGTTTTTAATAAATTAACTACTTTTCGATTTGATATCATGTCTACAATTATCATAATAATTTCAGATTTTTCGCATAATTCAGAGTTCTCAACCGTAAATGAACATTTATAAAACAAAAAAAAAGGGAGTCCATCACTGTTCACGCAAATTCACATGTAATTATTACTCTGTAGAAACGAAATTGTTTATTTGTATTAGATCAGTACGAAATCTATGTTAATGTTCAGTTTTGTCATTCAACTGCTCTGTTCGCTCTCTGCCCAAGCGCCTCTCACGCGAACGGACGCGTCCACAGTACTCTTCAATCAGACTTGAATATAATTAAATGTTGTAATTCAGACAAAATACAATTGTTCATAAGAAGTCAGTGCTTTTATTACTCAGACTATCAGTACGTACGCTGCATGCGATCCAGCCGAGCCCGTCTGGTGGCCCATGAAAATCAGTAACCACGCTCATTCGACCGCCATATTCAACAATCACGAAGAAACGTTTGGAAGCTTGTAGTATACATTTAATAGATAATACATTTATTTTATGACAACTCAACATAGGTCATTGACACGACATCCAAAATCCAACCCACCTTAAGAATCTCAATTCCAAATTAAAAAAATATTCCATTTTTTTGTAACGCCAAAATTGTAATTAAATATTGAAATAGTTTTTTTTTTTCGTTTGTATGCGCTTGATTTAAAACTTTATCCTTTTCTAGATTAAAAGAGATAGTTTAATTTTACAAACCGTTATAAAATACATCGTACCTTTAGAATTGAAGTGTCGTAACCCAAAATCCTGGTTTTTATGAAACGCCAAAAATATAATTCAAGAATTGTAATTTTTTAGTTTTTCGCTTTGAATACTTTGAAGTACCTACAGTAAGAGAACGTTCGCGCTTTCTGAAGTAAAAGACTTTATTTTTATAAGCTGATAGAATATTTGTTCATAAATCGTTCAAAGTATAAAACACACTTTCATAAAGTTTTTAGTTATGGGCACTACAATTCTAAAGGTTTGACCTGTAATAAGTATGTAACCTATATATTATTTTTTCGTGCAAAAACATTAAGCACAATGTGTACACATATTTTAACACACTATACAAACACGAAAATATATAAGCGGCTATAATGCGAATTCGCGAAAGAGTACTACCTATGTAATAAATAATACAAATGAAAAAAAATGAATAAGAACGTGTCGCGCGAATCTCGTCGACGCGCGGCCAAAGCGGAGAGACGCGCTCTGATTGGTCGAGAGAAGTGGTGTGGCATCGGACGATGAAATCACACGAGAGACGAACACGCTTCGCTCGTACGGCGATCGAATTTTGAAACAGAGTTCAGTGAAATTTTCGCGCGATTTTTTTTTTGACATTCCAAAAGTGTGTGTGTTCCAAAACTTCACATTGCATATTTCTTATTTCTATAGGTACAGCGAAATAAATACATTTTAACTACTTTAGCAAAGGGTCTCGTTCCCAGAGACATCAGCCAATGAATATCTACACCGACTTTGGCACATGAGATCGTAGGCTCACTAGAAACTAACTGTTCCACTAAAACTGATAGGCAAGATCGCCTAGCTTTTTTTTCCCTACCTATTCGCTGGTATCCCAAGAGGACATTCTAGTTACGCCCGGACGGGTAGGTGAGCTCACGGGCTCAACCTGAGAGAATTTTCTAACACTAGGTAGCCCTAGCAAGAGCAGTGCTACGCAGAATTTACCCCCGGATCGGAATCGCGACCCACTGTCAAGATCCCGCGAGAAACTCAGTGTGCTGTGTCTATGGGATCGCCTAGCTTTTTTTTCCCCTACCTATTCTAGTAACCTCGAGGGATTATTCCATATTCACCGAACTAGGAGGTGAGCTCACGGGACTCAAACCGGGAGTGTTGCTAACACTGGCCCTAGCAAGAGCAGTGCTTCGCAGAAACGCGACCCACCGAGAAGGTCCGGCGAGAAACTCAGTGGGCTGTGTCTATGGGTTAATTACTCGTCGAGCCCTTCATCACAAGCAACGGGATCGCCTCGCGTGAATGGGCCCTACATAAATTTTTTTAGCACTCGGACAAAGGAGGAAAGCTAAAAAATGCATCCCCAAAGGAGGATTAACATCTTAAGGGTAGCTAATTCGTGCTGCCAGCAAATTGGAATCGCGACTCACTTATAAGACTGAGAAACTCGTCAGGCTAAGTATACTATAGTGCAAAGTGCCTTAGCACAAGTAATTTATTAAGATTTATTATCTTTACGGTAGATTTGTAATTAACAGTTGTGCTAACACATC